GGTCCCTGCACACAACCATCACAGCAGGGGTGAAATCTAGCAGGTTCTGACAGGTTCTGGAGAACCGGTAGTGGAAACTTTGAGTAGTTCGGAGAACCAACAGTGGAAATTTGAGTAGTTCGGAGAACCAACAGTGGAAATTTTGAGTAGTTCGGAGAACTGGAAAATACCACCTCTGGCTGGCCCCAGAGTGGGGTGGGAATGGAGATTTTGCAATATCCTTCCCCCAGGAGTGGGGGGGGGAATGGGGATTTTGCAATATCCTTCCCCCAGGAGTGGGGAGGGAATGGGGATTTTGCAGTATTCTTCCCCTGCCACGCCCACCAAGCCACACCACGCCACCAAGCCACGCCCACAGAACCGGTAGTAAAAAAAATTGGATTTCACCACTGCATTACAGTATCCCCAGTCAAAATTCGGGTGCTTGCCAACCGGCATGTACCTACGATGGCTGCAGCATCCCAAGATCATGCAATCGCCATTTGGAACCTGCCCAGCCAAGCTTCTGATTAGCAAAGTCGATGGGAGACCCTGATTCATTTAAAGAAGGCACAGTTCGCTTAAGAACTGCAGTGGAATTTTGGATATAATGTGTTGCTTGAACAATGGGAAAATATGTGGACGAAGGGTTTTAAAATTTACATTAAATTATAATTCAAAAGAGAATTTTTATAAGAGGATGTATCGCTGGTATTTAACACCAGATAAGGTATCTAAGATGTATAAAGGTATGTCAAATGAATGTTGGAAATGTAAGAATAAGGAAGGGACTTTTTAATCATCTATGGTGGACAGGTGATAAAGCAAAAAAAAAAAATTTGGAATACGATTCACACTCTAATACAGAAAATCCTGAAAATGGAGATAGAAATGAAACCAGATTTTTTTTCCTTTTGGGACTAATGGAAAAAGAACTGGAGAAAAAAATTGGAACTTTATTATTATACATGTTGACAGCAGCAAGACTATTGTATGGGCAAAAATTTATTTATTTATTTGTTCAACTTGTATGCCGCCTTTCTCCGAAGACTCAAGGCGGCTTACAATGCATTTAAAAACCATATATAAAACATTAAAAGTTTAAACCATTAAAAACAATTAAAACCCATTCACACCATTCATGGCCGGATCTCGTCAGATCGCAAAGCGAGATCAACGGTCCCAGGCCTGCCGGAAAAGCCAGGTCTTCACCACTTTTTGGAAGGCCAGTAGGGTGGGGATGGTCAAGACCTCAGAAGGTAACTGGTTCCAGAGAGCTGGGGCAGCCACAGAGAAGGCCCTCCCCCGCGGGCCCGCCAGCCGGCACTGTTTAGCTGACGGGACCCAGAGGAGACCAACTCTGTGGGATCTTACTGGTCTCTGGGAGCTATATGGAAAAATGGAAAGACACCTTGATATCTACCATGGAAGAATGGTTGCAGTTGATGGAGTTGGAAGAAATGGCAAAACTGACTATTCGGATCAAAGAAAAGAACATAAGTACTTTGGTTTCCACGTGGAAACCACTTCTGAACTTCATGCTTGATGTGGAAAAGAATGTAACTCTGACTTTGGGTTTTATAGATTAGATGGATAGATCTTTATAGACTTGTTCATATTATTATGGAAAAACAAAAAGCTGTGATTTGATGCTAATGCCTTATTCCACTGCAACAGAGAGTCGAAAGTCAATGCTTCTTTTTCTTTCCGCCCCCCACTTTCCTCATTTTTCTTCCCCCTTTCCCCCCCTTCTCGTTCTGCTCGTTCATTTACTTTTGAATTTTGTATTTTATAATATTTAATAACTTAATAAGAATGTTTGAATTCAAAGGAGATGAAAAAAAATCCTGCAGTGGTTTATTAAACAACCATGGCCAAAAGAGTCATAAAATTGGGTATCACTGACTTAACATGACCCCTTGCTCAGCAACAGAAATTCCAGTCCCAATTGTGATTCTTTCCTGCCTGGACTGCCTCTAAGGCAGTGTTTCTCAACCTTGGTAGCTTGAAGATGGGTGGACTTCAACTCCTAGAATCCCCCAGCCAGCAGCGCTGGCTGGGGGATTCTGGGAGTTGAAGTCCACCCATCTTCAAGCTACCAAGGTTGAGAAACACTGCTCTAAGGGCTAAAAACATGAGCCAATATTATAGAAAACTAACTTTTATACTTCTGTCGCAATCAGCACCCCAACACAGCAATACCGGTAGGAGGTTCAATCCCACAGAAGCTTATGGAGTGTTTTATTCCATTCTTAACCACAGTTGTTCTCAATTAGTGGTACCCATGATCTGTAGGTGGAAGCAACTCTCATCCAAAATTGGACAAGAGCCAGAGGGTATCCCAAAGGGAAGTTCAGCTGGTTTCTAGTTGAGCGTACCAAGATTGTATTGAGATAAGCCACTCTGGTCTAGTGGTTAAGGCACCAGGCTGGAAGCCAAGTGAATGCGAGTTCTAATCCTGCTTGTGGTATGAAAAGCAGCTGGGTGACTTTGGGCCAACTCAACTCACATCGTTATTGCTTTGGGGAAAAAAAGAGGCGGAAGGAATATTAGTTATGTTCACTGCTTTGAGTTACTCGAGCAAACCTCACTTAACAACTGCCTTGCTTAGCCACAAATTTTGGGCTCAATTATGGTCGTAAGTCGAGGATTACCTCTAATGCAAAATGTTACATATCTGATTTTTTGGGATAAATTTTCAATTTAGGCCTGCAGTGATTCCCAATGTGGAATCCACGCCCCACAGGGGGGCAATTTGATTTTTAATGGGGGCAATTGGAACCTTGTTTAAACCAAGTTAATGGCCTTTTAGGCTTCCTCCTGTGAGTAGGAGTTCACTTTTTGAATTGTAAGAATTATATGTCACAGGGGAGGTGGGGCATCAGAATTTTCGAGATGCTTAGGTGGGCCATGGCCAAAAAAAGGTTGGGAATCACTGGTTTAGGGGAAGATTGTTCCTAACAGTGCCTCAGCCCAGTCGGTTCCCATTCCTTATTTTACAGTTAGTGTAACAAAAACTGCCAGTAGTGTGATTACAAAAAAAGAAAAGTTCTTTCCACTTACTGTATCCAAGAAAGGTAATACTGTAACAACAGAATGCCTGTAAGCAGTTATTTCTGAAAGAGTGGGCATTTTCTCTCCATCTTGGCTCAGATGCTTTGATCAATAGAAGGGTGCAACTCAAAATAACGCATGGAAATGTGAGAAGCAGCGGTCTAGATACAAGAGGAAGTTTTCAGGAATTTGGCATCTTGGCCAAACAAGGCCCAATAGCAGCTCTGCATTTTCTACTTTTCCAAAGTCAGAACCATTTTTTTTGAAAGGTGAGATGGAAACTACCAAGCCCCAGGCCTTCAAGTCCAAAAGGGAAACTGAACTGGGCACTCTGTCTCTTCCTTGATGTTTGTCCATCTCCTTATCAATAAAGCAAAAAAGTCTATGGAAATTCTCAACCATCCAAGGTCCTCATTTGACCCTTTCCAAACATCAACTGGGCTCTCTTGGGTTTTTTTTCCCCCCCTTTGGAAACATTTCACTTCCAAGAGCTTCTTCAAGTTCTTCTTGGATAAGAAGTGAAACCAAACCAAAGGAGAGAAAAAAAAAATATCAAGGAAGTCCAGTTGCCTTTTAGAAAAGCATCTCTGGGACAATAAGCAAAATGGAACACCAGCGGGAGCCCAAGAGATGGTCCACATCACCTCCAGATAATGATGGGGCTTTTTACCTTCCACCGCCCCCAAAATACCAGCTAAAGCAGGGGTCCCCAACCTTGGCAACTTGAAGCCTGGCGGACTTCAACTCCCAGAATTCCCCAGCCAGCAAAACAGCCAGCAAAGGAAAGCTCGTTGAGGAACTCTGGGAGTTGAAGTCCACAAGTCTTAAAGTTGCCAAGGTTGGAGACCCCTGCTCTGGAGAACATTTGGTGGTTATTAGGATGCTGTTATCTGCTCTTCTTTATCAATAGCAATTAATGATCGTTGCATCTTTGGCATTTGGATTATTGCACCTTTTAATCTTTAACTTTAATTTTTTTAATTTTAATTTTAATTATTATTATTTTTTAATTTATATGCCGCCCTTCTCCGGAGACTCAGGGCGGCTTACAATGCGTTAAGCAATAGCCTTCATACTTTTTGTATATTTATACAAAGTCAGCTTATTGCCCCCACAAACTGGGTCCTCAATTTACCTACCTTAGAAAGGATGGAAGGCTGAGTCAACCTTGAGCCTTGGCGAGATTCGAACCTGCAGTAATTGCAGGCATCTGGTCTTAATAACCAGCTTAATAACAGGGTGCCTTAGACCACTGTACTACCAAGGCTATTTGTTTTATTAAATGTATAACTATCTTTGACTTGATAAATGTTTTAACTGTGTTTTACGGTTGCAATTTCAAGGAGTGCCTTGGAAATTTAGTAGTATCCATGAATCAATCTGCCTCCTGGTTCTTGACTTACAACTGCAGGTAGCCCTTGACTTAAAACAGTCCGTTTAGTGACTGTTTGACGTTACAAAGGCACTGAAAAAAAGCTTTGCTGGCTGGGGAATTCTGGGAGTTGAAGTCCGCCAGGCTTCAAGTTGCCAAGGTTTGGAGACCCCCTGAGCTAAAGCCTCTCTCGCCACCTGTTGATTCTCGTCAGAAAAATCTATAGCGTCCCTTCCTCAGGCTGGCAGCGGCACCGGCGCAGAAGCCAGGCGAGCGGGAGCGCCCAAGCCAAAGAGCCGCCGCCTCGGCTGCACTTGCGCAAGTTCACTTTCGGGGTTTTTTTAGCCCGCCGCGCCAGCCCCACCCGGAAAGTGGGTTGCGGGAACTCAAGCTCTCCCTCCTCCTCCTCCTCCTGAGGCGGGTCAAGCGCGGCCTCCCATCTCCGGCCTTTTTTTTTTAAGGGCCCCGCCCCCTTCCTCTTCCCCTTCGGGCGAGCCCCCCCCCCTCAGCTTTCCCACCTTCCCCCGCCTCGGCTGGTGACGTCATATTCGGTTCTGCCAGCGCCATTTTGAAAGGAGGAGGAGGAGGGGGGGCTGGGGAAGGAGGAGGAGGAGGAGGAGGAAGCGGAGAGCGGGGAAGCCCTGGAGAAGCGAAGCCGGCCTTGCCCTCCCCCCCGCTCCCCCGGCGGGCGCGATCCGCTGCCATCCTCCCTCCACGTTCTCTCCGAGACCGGCCCGGCGAGAGGATTGAGAAGCTGAGAGGCCGCTTCCTCCCGACCGCTAAGCATTGGGCGCCCAGCATGGCAGGTAAAGGGGCCAAGGAGCCGCGGGGACTGGAGCCTGGCGCCGGGCGGGCGGCTTGAGGGAAACGCTGCTTTGCTCTTGCAGAGCCCGACTGATTGCCTCTTTCTCTCACCCCGTTGCTTGTTCAGCGAAAAGACCCGGTCGGCTTTTAATCCCCCCCCGCTCCCTCTCGCTGCCTCGGAAGGTCTCCTGAAATGCTGGCTCCCCTCCCCTCCCCGGGGCCGGCTCGTCCGCCTTCCCCTCCGCCTCGATCCCCCTTGAGGGACGGGGTTTTGAAAAAGATGCCTCTGCCCGTCAAAGCGGGCGGCTCTGCTCCTTGGCGAAGGAGAGGCAGAAGTTGGAGCTGGGGTCCAACCGAGGCGTACGCGGTGGCTGCCTGCATCTGTGTGTCGAGGAGGGTGTGTGGGGGGGTATTGATCTTCCCCCTTCCCCCCCCCTGCTGATAAGCCTCGATAAGGCTTTTTTTCCCCACCCCGGGCGGGGAATTCAGGGCTGGACCGGCAGGATTGCTTTGCACGCCCCGTGTTTGGGAAGGGAAGGGAAGGGAAGGGTGGGCTCCTTTGCAACAAGCCAGCGTGCTCCCATGCAGCCGTGGGAATAAGAGAGACGTGCAATCTTGGTGGGAAACCGAGGGGAGGGGAGGGGGGGTTTGCTGCTGACAGCTTGAGCAGCCTACATGTGATTAGTTACGTGAAGCTTACATCTCTTCCTGCTCATTTGAGGGAGGGGAGGGTTCCCCCACCTTACTAGTGCTTGGGGTGGGGTGGGGGGGTTGGCATGAAAATGCACCGGGAGGCCTTAAACCCCAGCTCCCTTCTCTTGCTTTCCCCATTTATTTTATTTATTTTTCATTTTTCCTGGAATTCGTTTCACCCGCACCCAGTTGCTCTAATTGCTCCAGATTTGAAAATGGAGCACAAGAGGCCCTATTTAGAGCTGCTTTGCAGCCCTGATGTGCCCACGACACCTCTGTGCATCCATCCGACCCTGGGTTTCTTTTCTTTCTTTCTTTCTTTTTTTTCATCAATGGAAGCAGAGCTTGGAATGTAGGGAGTTACAGCTGGATGGGGGCAGCCTAATTTTTTTTTTTTGAAATGAGATGTACGTTTTTCATTTATTTTTATAGGAGATCTTTGGGTTTCCAGGCAAAGCTCAGCTACGGGCCTCGGCTTTTGCTCCTTCAAGGATGCAATTCGGGAATACTGTACACTGTGGATTTATTCCCATCTCTAAACATCCTTTCCCATTTCCAGATATGGTCAAATGATACAGGACATTGTAACAGAAGGGAGATTAAAATAGAATACTTTTGTTTCCACTTTTCCTGTGTTCTCCTGCTTGTTCTTGAGCCAGGAAGGAGTAAATAGTTGCTTCAAACTTTGTTCTCCCTGTAGAGTTCAGCCTTAAGCAGAAAAGGGAGAGAGAGAGAGAGAGAAAAAACACTTTTGCACCGTTTTGCATTTGGTTTGAAGGGGGGCGTGAAAAAGAAAGGGTTCCATTTTGACAGTCCTCTTTTCAGGAACTAGAAGCTACCAGCTTGTAATTCTTCATCGTCTTCTTTTCCTGTATGAACCCAACCCAAATGACTGACTTCAAATGACATGAAGAAGAAATGGGTGGTGTCTGCTGGGTGTTTTGTACATGCCTTGGCGGCAAGGTTCAAGTGATTCATTGTTTTCCGCCTAGGCAGAAATGTTCCTGAAATTTTCTCTTCGATCCGTCTTTTACGGTAGTTTGAAACTTACTTGTAACTTTAAAGCAGCCTGACAACCTCTTCTGCTTTTGAGGTTGTAGCTTCTGCTTTGTATTCCTTTTTTTTTTTTTTTAAATCATGTTTTATTTCTTTCTGATGCACATAGGAAAGGTTCTTGGCTTAGGTTTCTGTTGTTGTTTTTTTTCTTTAGGCAGTGAAGTTTGCTGTTCCTGCTGCTGCTAATGATAATGTTGATTTATTGTTTTTAAATACGGTGGTGGGGGAAATGTAGCCAGGTTAGGGGCGGGAGAGGATTTAATGTAGAAAATGAATTTTTGTTTGTTAAGCCAAGGAAGCACTGCATTTTTTCAGGGAATTCTAGAAGACATCCGAATTCATTTCTGGGAACTGTGGTGTGATTTTGGGAATGTATTCAGGAATGTAGTTTTGGAAACTGCTAAGAATTAGCTGAGAAATTGCAGTGATTCTGGGCCGGATGGATAGATTTGCTCTGGGCTAATTCGAACCCAGTGCTTAGGTGGCAGGTGGAGGAAGAGAATGGTTTGCCAGGAGGTTTATCTGTGGGGCTTCAATCTGTGCTGAGAATATCCTTGTGGGTGTGTAGAGTTTGCCTTTGCAGCGTCATTCGCTGCACTGTTTATCAGAGCGGAATGATAAGACCGTGCAGCCAAATTTCAGACGATGGGGTGTGGAATTACGTTGATTTAACTTCTGTTCTGTTTCTAGGAGCTGGCGGTGGCGGGAATGACATTCAGTGGTGTTTTTCTCAGGTGAAAGGCGCTGTGGACGATGATGTAGCGGAAGGTAAGAACAAGTTCTGAGCCCCCATTACCATTGCTAATGAGAGCACAGTGGAAATGCTGCATTCCTGGGATAGTTAAATCTTTTCCTATTGTTGGGCCTAGAGAGAATACCCTGGAAGTTTACTGAAGTGTCTTGAATCTCGCTTAATAGTTGTTGGGGCACTCATTTTCTTTTGGCTCGGTATTAAATGGTTAGAATCAGGGCAGTTTTTGAAGGGATGCTAAACGTTTTTCACATGTCTCTTTCCTCTGTATTGGAACTTGCATGCTTCGAAAATAATTTGGAAAAGAAGCGTTGGTTTGCACATGGCATAGTACCTCTTCTCTATTAATTAAAGCAGCCCAACTTTTTAAGGGATTTGCTGGAGTCTGGAAAAGACGTGGCTGCTTTAAGAATTGTATTAATTTTAATAAATTAGGGCAAATTTAGGTATGCTTATAAACATGAAAACAAAAGATATAAGTATTTTGATGAATGGCAGATGGTTTTCTGGTCAATGCAGCGTGTATATGTGGGTGCATACTTACATGCATTATAATACACGTTGCATGCAAGTGTGTAAAATGACCTTTCATTCCTTGAGTTATTGCATTTTAAAGAAATCACCTGTGGCTGTTAAACCTGGACAATTAATCACGCATTGTGCTTTTCTGAATAGATGCCACTATTAGTGTGAGCACGTGGTGTTACTAAGCCATGCGTTCTTGCTGTAGAGAAAAAATGTGGCAGGAAAATGGAGAATGATTTCTAGTTTCTTTTTAATGATATATTTCTGGAAGCATTGGGAGAATTGGAGCATGCATAGTATGGGTCAAGAGATCACACTGATAAAGAAACAGTAGCAGTTTCTGGAAAATAGCTGTGTAATCTAATCTGCTGGAGCCTTCTAAGAAGGGAAATTGAGCTTTTTCCTTGAAGACACATCTAAGTCCAAAGATTTTACTTTCTTTTTTCTTGAGGGTGGGTAAAACTTAGATGATAAAGGGCCTTGCCTTGTGTGCAGATGGATTTATTTCTGGAAGCAAAACTTCAGCCTGCAACTTTCAAAGAGCTACTGTGGTTTGAGTAATAGTAATATCCAGAGATACGTAGTGTATTAATACATGTGCCCCCCTAAACCTTTGCTGGAATCACATATTCTGCTTAGCTGTACAGGTAGTCCTCGACTTACGGCCATAATTGAGCCCAACATTTCATTCGTTAAGTGAGGTTTGCCCCCATTTTGCGACTTTTCCTGCAATAGTTGTTCATCTTGAATCGTTGCAGTTGACAATTTAGCAACTTGGTTGTTAAGCGAATCTGGCTCCCTCGTTGATTTTGCTTGTCAAAAGGTCGCAAAGCGGGATCACGTGACCTTGGGGCACAGCAACGGTCGTAAGTATGAACCAATTGCCAAGCATCTGAATTTTGGTCACATGATCATAGGGGTGCTACAAAGGTGGTAAGTGTGAAAGATGGTCATAAGTCACTTTTTTTCAGTACCATTGTAACTTTGAAAGTCACTAAATGAACTGTTGTAAATGGAGGACTACATGTAGTACTGTTTTATTGGTGAAATATTATTGTGCATTAGTTGACAGTGCAGATCTGTAACTCTCTAGCGCAAGATGCATAAAAAGGGCAAAACTTGGTTCAGAATAAACCTTCATATTATTCCCATGCTGCTAGACCTTTTTTTAGGTCAGCAGGGGAAAAAAAAAATCTTATGTTGTCAAATAGGAGAAGCTGGTTTGAATCTGCCCTTCTCTTCCCTCCCCATAATGGCTGCTACTGGCCCATCTGCTTCCTTTCTCTCTCATCTTCTGTCCCTTCCGAGTTCCCTTCAATTCCTGATATCTTTGGCCCCTTCCCCTATTCCCTCCCCGTAATCCTTCCTGCCTGGTTCAAAACAGTCCAATTTTGTTCTGTTTACGGACCAGAGCAAGCTGTTTTGTGCACACAGTGTTTTGCACCTCCCTATTTCCTCCAGCAAGTATATTCTACGGTGGATACTGTTGCTAACTAGAGCTGAGTGTATGGCTTGCGAAATATGCATCGGTAAAGCCTACTGACCATTGCTGTATGAATTACTGCGCTATTGATCCGTTGCAGCTGGTGCAAAAGGAACGCCCATTGCTGTGAATGCTGCCTGTATTGAGAACAAGAGCAGGCTGGGATGATCTGGGCTTCTTTTTCCCTCTCTGGTACCGGAATCGTGCTGGGGAAAAACAGTCTGAAACTTAAAGAACATAGCCTAAAGAAAAGAAGAATTAGGGGTGACATGATAACAGTATTCCAGTATTTGAGGAGCTGCCACAAAGAAGAGGGGGTCAAATTATTCTAAAAAGCACTGGAGGGCAGGACAAGAAACAATGGATGGAAATTAATCAAAGAGAGATGCAACCTGGAATTAAGGATAAACTTCCCAACAGTGAGGACAATTAACCAGTGGAACAGCTTGCCTCCAGAAATCATGGTGCTCCAACACTGTAGGGTTTTAAGAAGAGACTAGATAGTCATTTGTCTGAAATGGTGTAGATCCGTGATGGCGAAACTGGCACGCGTGCCACAGGTGGCACACGGAGGCATGTCACCTGGCACGCCAGCTCAGCCTCTCTAGTAGTCTCTGGAGGCTGGGGACAACAAAAAATGTCACTTCGTGTCCAACCAGAAACAGCCTGGGAAACAGGCTGTTTCGGGCCTCCAAGGGGGTAGGGAAGGCTGTTTTTGCCCTCCCCAGATGCATAGAGAGGATTTGGAGCCAGGTGAGAAAGAAAAATGGGCCTACCGGGCCATTGTGTGCCAGGAGTGGGGGGCGGGGACATGCATGCATGCGCAGGGCAGGGCGCATAGAATTATGGGTGTGAGCACATGCACACTCGCGAACCTCCCCCCCCTTTTCTGGCACGCGATGGCAAAAAGGTTAGCCATCACTGATATAGATTCTCCTGCTTGAGCAGGGAGCTGGACTAGAAGACCTCCAAGGTCCCTTCCAGCTCTGTTCTATTCTAAATTCTAAATAGTTTCATAACATCCGAGTTAAAAGCAGGTACCTTTTAGGGTGAAGATTGGTGTAGATCAGGAGTGTCAAACTCGCCTTGGTGGCGCAGCAGATTAAACTGCTGTTAAAGTAGCACTTAGCTGCCAGCTGCCTGCAATTACTGCGAGTTCAATTCTCACCAGGCTCAAGGTTGACTCAGCCTTCCATCCTTCCGAGGGAGGTAAAATGAGGACCCGGATTGTGGGGGCAATAAGCTGACTTTGTATAAAAAAGAACACCGCTTGGGGGGGTGGGGGTGAAAGCCCTACTAAGCAGGTATATACAAAAGTATGAAGGCTATTGCTTAATGCATTGTAAGCCGCCCTGAGTCTCCGGAGAAGGGCGGCATATAAATTGAACTAATAAATAAATAAATAAATGTGACGTATCATGACATGTTCCCCCTTCACTAAACTGGGTGTGGGCGTGGCCAGCGCTTGATGCATCTGGCCCCCGGGCCGTGAGTTTGACACCCCTGATGTAGATAGTTCTCTGTATAGTCTCCTAGAAATTTATTCTCAGTATGGTTGAATGGAGAGAAGCAGGCATATAACTAGGGCTATAAATGTACCAAAGTTGATGAAAATAAATACATATAGATAGTCCTCCACTTACGGTCACAATTGGGACCAGAACTTACACTGCCAAGTGAGACAGTTGTTCAGTGAGTCAGGCCTGATATTATGACCAATTTTGCCATGGTTCTTAAGCAAATCACCACAGTTGTTAAATGAATCGTGCGGTCGTTAAACAAATCTGGCTTCCCCCCATTGTCTTCGCTTGTTGAAAATGGCCGGGAAGGTCATCGACGGTGATCACGTGACCTGAGATGATGCAATCGACATAAACAACACGCCATTTGCCAAGCACCCACATTTTGATCATGTGACCATGGGGATGCTGTGACAGTTGTAAATGTGAGGACCAATTAAAAGTCACTTTTTTCGGTGCTGTTGTAACATTGGACAGTTGCTTAACAGATGGTTGTAAGTGGAGAATTACCTGTATTGAGAATATTCATAACAGGATCTAAACCAAGCACATACCTACATGGATGATAGAAAAAGAGAAGGACCAGGGGAGACATGATAGCAGTCTTCCAATATTTGAGGGGCTGCCACAGAGAGGAGGGGATCAAACTATTTTCCAAAGCACCTGAAGGCCAGACAAAGAATAATGGATGGAAACTGAACAAGAAGAGATTCAACCTGGAAATGAGGAGAAATTTCCTGACAGTGAGAACAATCAACCCATGGAACAGAAGTTGCCTTCAGAAGTTGTGGGAGCTTCATCACTGGAAGCTTTCAAGAAGAGATGGGACTGCCATCTGTCAGAAATGGTGTAGGGTCTCCTGCTTGGGCGGAGGGTTGGACTAGATGACCTCCAAGGTCCCTTCCAACTCTGTTAATCTAATCCTGTGGGTGAGATACATTTGCCAAAAAGTTGGGGAGAGTTTTAGCTGAGGATCTTTGGTTTGTCTAAGCTGGGAAGACAACTTAATTGACATTTAGGATGATAGGGGCTGAAATATAGTTTGCATATCTGTGGTTGAATAATCAGTAGCAAGCTACTCCTGACACATGAACTCATACGTGAAGGCTTATGAATGTTAGTGACTAACTTCATATAGCATTCTGAGTTGAAGCCAAGCAAAAACCTCACAATGGCTTATTGAGATGCGTGATACTTGTTGCAATGTGCAAATAAATATTGTAAGAATAAGGATACTGAGACCCATCTGTTATTGCTAAATTGTAACTTTTAGCCTCTCGCAAACTCCTTATATTGTCTGAGATTGCTCGGAATTATAACACTAACATTATAACACTGATGTTCATAAGCCTTCATTTAGGGATCCATGGGTTCAGACTAGTATATACAATGAGAAGAAATGCCACTCTCTTCTAGGGCTGTTGATGTTACCTAGTTTGGTAATGAAATGTCTGCGAGAAAACAAACTTAGAGAGCAACAAAGACTCCA